TACAGAACTACTATCCGTAACCCAAGCCCAGAGGGTCCAAAGGTATCAACCGTTGAAGACTCACAGCGTAAAACCATCTTCTTGTAAAGTTTGAAGATAGTACTATCTACAGTGAAGCATCAGATTTCTATACGATGTATGATGAATTTGCCTTATTGAATTGCCTCCGAAATGAATCGCTCGCGGCCTGTTGTTTCTCCTGTCAGCTTCGATGTCCGGCAAATTATCAATTATGCAGCAACACGCAGAGAAAAGTTGCGGCACTATGCAGCAACGCCCTGCAAATTAATATGATTACAGTACGTACGAGCCGAATCTAGCGCCATATGCGCCCATGTGTATACGCAGTACCGTGCTCTAGCTCCGGAGATACAGCCGTATTGTACGACATGTACATACTATAATTCGAATTGTGCACTACCTCGAACTGTTGCTCCGCACATCCATGGATCGCTCAGGGCATCGAGGGAAACCTCATTTGCATCGCAACTGGCAATACAAACATGAGCTCTGACTTCAACTGCCGAGGGTCTTCGAATACACCCGTCGCATGAAACTGCTCTCGAGTGTTCGGCGATGGCATTGTTTGGCCAGGACTAGCAGGGAAGCGTGACAAATACATGCTGCAGGCTATGCAGTACCATGCAATATTTGCTCGCCAGGCCTTTGCATGTCCCCATATAGCTTTCGTCACGAAACGTGTGATAGTACTTGGGGTTCACACCTCAGCTGCACATGCCGGATTCCACAAACCAACCCAGCTCAACAACTGCGAACATGTATGCATTCTTGATTTAGATGGGCCGCCGTCCATCCTTGCAAAGTGACTGAGCTCTTGCATGGCCTCATCAAGTTCGTCAGATTCAATATATTAATACCGGGGTGTATTTCTTCGAGATCGGGCCCTATTTGAATGAGGAGCGTGTAGCTTGGGACGCAAAATCCACAGGCGCTCGCCGTCGGCAGCAGACATCCCTGCCAACTTCACATAAGCCATGCCCATTTTGTCCTTAGTTTAAACTTTGCATAAACAAGCCGATGATTCGAAATTGCAGGATCCGGATGAAAGACCAAGTGTCACAGGCTTCCTCAAGCCCGCACTTTTGTGCATCAGTCAAATATCTTCCATAGCGTTCCATACGATTGAAGAACTCACCCAGCCAGAACCTGCCAAGACCAGCTTCATCATGAGACACTGACACCCGAAAACCACACATCGACGTTTTCATCATATTTATTTGCGATCAAAGAAACGCCACCTTTGCCATCTCATCCAGACGCTCCGAGCGGGCATCCGGCGGTAAGGTCGCCCTGAAGCCCAGGACGAAGTCCGAAAGCCAAGCCATGACCACTCTTCCCTGCGATCTCATTTACGTACAGAGCAGATCATGTATACATGTATATATATATATAAACACCACAGTTGATACATTGATGACAAGCTGCATTGTGCCCTTTCATTGAAAGTTCTGCGTAGCCGGACGCGACATCTTTCAGCATCTTCGCAGCAAACTCGGGCTGCGAGTGCCTTATAATACGGATCACATCATCATGAGCTCGATCGCGCTATATATATGCAATATAAGATGCTCGATGCGGTGTGTCGATGCCCACGAGGTGAAGTCCGCATATGCCATCGCCAATCGCACGTTCATCCGGTCCTTCGCGAGCGTGCCCGGCGGAGCGACCCATAGCTCCTGATACAAAGCGAATTATGTTGCCATGATGATCGCTAGTTTTTTTTAATAATGCTCTTGATGCAAAATTCAGTCGAGACTCTGTGAATTTCAACAGTTCCATGATGAGGGATCCAGCTGTCCACTGCACCACTCCCAAATTGATGGAATGCAGTGTGCACCAGCGAAGCATGCTGTGGTGAAAGTGGTTCACCTTCAGTAAGAAGCCTCGGGTCAGAATAACGATAGCGATTAAATAATTGAAATATAATATGTTCGAAGAATACCGCTAGTTTAATCGAGCACCTTATTTGCATAGCTAGTGGCTTCGCTCGCCTCGGTGTGGCCTGCAAACGGCCTGGAACTCTTCCATAGACCGTCGCGGCCGGCTCCATAGTTGCGCCGGAAACTTTACAAAGTCGTTCTCTTTACACCAACAATGATGGCATATGTAAGTGGAATTCCAGCCCACGCCCAAGTTCAGAATTTCCTGATCCGCATTGTGAATTTAACTTGAATAGTATAGCATTATAAGTAGCAGCAGCTAGTACTAGCTAGTACTAGTAGTAGCAATATTGGTGGTGGTAGTGGTACCGGTTTGATTGCAATATGTAGTATAGTGTATAAAGATCCCAAGCCGAAGGCATTCGTCCTCCCCAAAAACAAGTCCGACCCTGGATTTCCTGAACTAGCTATATATTCATTCCGGACTATTATAACGGTTTAGGGCTTAGGGTTTAGGGGCTTGCAAGGCTAAATTTATATCGTTTCAGTGCCAGCTTGCTTTCATGAACTTCCAGTCGGCACGTACCTCCGAGAGGAATGATCTAGGGAAGGTGGTCTTGGGCTCGGGGATCATAGACTCGTGGGCTTCCACGTTCTCCGGTCGCAGCTCTGCAGCATCAAGATATGTCGGAGCAGCTCCCAGCAGGCAGTAATTGAACGATGCTGCGATCTTGGCTATGCTATCATTCGATGACAATAAGAAGGATCCCCCTAAACTCCGGATCTCCCTAAACCCCGAAGCCCAAAATCCCTATTAAGTCCTAAAACCCTAAGCCCAAACACCCTGAAATCCAAAGGCCCTAAACCCTATTTCAAAAGTATAATCAATGCTGATCTGGCACCGGTCTCATAAGCGCTTGCAGCGTTTCAAATCCTGTGCTCAATGCCTCGCTTCGGCATACATGCTGCGATGATTTGCGTGGCTTGGCACAGCTTCAGAATCTAAAACTGCATGCTAGCTAGAGCTAGGCAGGGTGGGCTGGTACGTAGCTTGAAGCCAGGCTACAAGCCGTACAACGGCCAGCGGATAACGTGTTTGGGTAGAGTCCATCAAGAGGTTCCAGCTCAGCACGATGATCTTCTGCCCTGTTTCCGTAAACCGGCAATCATCTCCATGCAACCCGCCCGGCAGGGTCATTTCGGGAACATTGCACGGCCAAGGCACTTGACTGCATGCATGGCCAATCATATGATTCCAAAACTCCCTGAGTTCCTGCATGTTGTACATGTTGTCCAATTGTCCGGATTTGTGCAGTGCGGCCACCAGCTCATGGGGTAGGACAATGGGCAGCAGCCTCATCATTGATCAGAAAACAATATTATAAAGGTCCTAGTGCATTCAACCCTGATCAACTGTAGCCCGGCAACTGGTCCTCCACCACCCAGGCTCCTTGTCGCTTTCGGCGAACCGGCGCAGGCACGAATCGGATGGGAACCTGGGCCGTATGGTTGATCGGACTCGGGCTTTGGGTGTGTTTGGGTTTTGGTGTTGGGTGAGATTGAGTTTTGGCCTTTAGGGGTACAGGGTTTAACCGGGCTTGGTGTTTAGGCTTAGGGCCGGGGTTTACTAGTTTAGCTTTTAGAGTTGATTCGCAGTTCAGGTGTACAGGCTTTGGGTTTAGGTAGGCGGGGTCTGGGGTTTAGGGTACGGTGAGTTGGGACGGATAGATATAAGCAATTCTCGCTCGGATCGATAGGCCTGGCTGGGTGTAGACCGTCGTAACACGTCCCGCTCGATATTGCTAACATGGTCGCCGTTGGCGCCTGCACTTGCAAGCCCTGCAAGCATTCGGCCAGGCTCCGCTCCCATGGCTGCGAAGTCCTCGCAGCTTGGACTTAACACGATGATCATATGATAAAGTTAACAATGCAATAAACCCCAAATCTTTAAAGTAGGTCCCACCTGAATAGCAGCATATGCGACCTTCTGCGCCGATGCGTAGCTGAGCTCCTGCAGGGTGAATTATATAATTAACCGTTTATATAGGTAGGCCTAGCCTGTAATGGGGTTTAAGAAATTTGGATGTAACCCTAGCCTCATCCTAGTCATTTTCAACCCAACCCTTGTCCCCGGCAGAAATCATAGTGGTCAGTCGCTTGTGCAACGTGGCGGCTCCGGGCTTCGATTGGTCACCTGCGAGGGATAAATATTAATGTATATCTACGCTTTGTTTGTAGCCGCATAGTTAATTGGATCGATCGCGATACTCGCTCATCTGTTTTGGCAGACACAAGCGCCGCGTCAGTAGCAGCTGTAGCATCGAAGCTACATCTAGTTGTGCATGTATGTAGCGATCTGTAAATTTGATTCGATTGCAACCAATTGCAAAGCTCGCAACGGCTAGACCGTGTTGCTATGGCTGGACAGCTGGCTCTGCTGCTA